CGTTAAAAAAAGGGAATGATGCTCTCTGTAATCACAGTTCAAATGCTGCATTTTAACAAAAGGTGAGCCGAGTATTCCACGTTTTTCCAAGCCGTCATTTTTCCAGTCTTCACCATGATCCTGTCTGACTGGAACAAGAGGTGTTGAGAAGGTCAAAGCTGAGAAACTCTTTACCCCTCACAGAGGATGATGGGGAAATCCACATGAATGCAGGGGTGATCGAGCTTCACCACTCCCTGAAAATGAAATCATTTCCCAATGAACAAATGGATCAGTTCTAGATCAACGGTACCGTATGTCCCCACTCACCTGTGGAATCAAGTTCTTCTGGATCCTTTTCAACTTGGACCTTTTTCTGCCATTTTTCGTAACCACCGTCTCCTCATAGAATTCATGGGCTAGATCACCGTCCTCATCATAGTACAAGGAGCTGCCAAACATTAAGATTAAGTATTAAATCATAATGTAAGTAAGGAGGCATTCTAGTAGCCCAAAGTCTTTTATCAAATTTTAGATTATTACTCCTGACTGCTTTTGATCTGCTCCATTATCCCCCTAATAGTAAAAATGATTATTTTTGGCGTCATCAAATAAGTATCATCACCGCTCCCCTCCTTAGCAGGTTGAAATATGAAGACTGGTTAGTATAATGAGCTGCCTGCTGTTCATGGTTCAAAGACTGATCAGGTGTTTTTGACATTTAGAAAAGTAGAAACTCAAGATTAACATGAAAAAAACACCTGGAGAACATCCAACCTGACATGGAAAAATTAGGTAAGAATTGCACTGCTTGGGTCCTTCTGCGGCGCTCAAAAACAACTTAATATAAATATCACAGACTGTTCCAAACTCAGCTTTCCAATTCCATTATTGTTTTACATCTATTTGAATATATAACATGCTGGCATGTATTTTAGATTTAGGCGAAATATTTCTGCAGCTGGCAGGCTTGGAAAATGGAGAACAGAATAATGAAAAACCAGAGAAGAGAAGAAAGGTAGGACACATACAAGAGAAGGAAGGAAGGAAGGAAGGAAGGAAGGAAGGAAGGAAGGAAGGAAGGAAGGAAGGAAGGAAGGAAGGAAGGAAGGAAGGAAGGAAGGAAGATACTATGATACTATTACTAAAATTGTGATAATGTGACAATGTAATACAGTGGTTCCCAAAGATTTTCTTATGGGCCCCCCTTTGGATTACAATAAAATTTCCACGCCCCCCCCCCCCCCCCCCCCCTCCCCCCCCCTCCCCCCCCCGCCAACCCCCACGACCCCCAAAAAAAAAGAAGAAAAAAAAAGAATAAACTGGGCACAGACATCGTTCAACCAGATATAATAAATCTATACACATATTTTGTTTTCAAACTCCACTGAAGTTTATTTCACACTTCAGGTTGCAACAAAACAAACTACACCATCTTTACAGTGGAACACTTTTGTGTAACTGTATTTTTTTCATAGTTCTATAATGTAGATTAGAAGAGGATTCTTTGCTGTCTGTGTTATTTTAAACATATTTCTTTTTTTTTATTTGTAACAATATTTAACTTTGCTATAATCTATACATTAAAAAAAGCCTCTGTGCAAAATGGAGTGAAAACATTGAACAGCTCCCTGAGAGTTTTTTCTTAGTACTTTAATCCTCCCATCTTTTCAGTGGCTGTAGTGAGCCTGCTTTTTGCTGTAGATCTTCTCAAATCTGGGTTGCAGTGTCACAACTGTCCATGCTCAGTCAACCAAGCGCTGTTTTTTTTTTTTTTTTTTTTCTTCATTCATCCATACCGCTTCCCGCGCCCCCCCTGCAATGGCATTGCGCCCCCCCTAGGGGGCGCGCCCCACACTTTGGGAACCACTGATGTAATATATCTAATATGCAAAAATAATTTCACATGAATTGATTAAAACATGCCACCCAGAAGGCAATAATCAAAAATAGTTCATTAATAATATAAACATTTCTGTACCTCCTCCTTGTAAAAACAAACGGCGTTGCATTTTTGGAACCTTTCAGGCGGGCCAGAGACTGTTCGTTTCCATCGGCCCCTGAGTCCCCTCCGCTGCCTGAGAAAGGCCAGGCACCTTTGACTTTGGATCCGCTTCCTCCCATCCTCAGAGATAAGACATTATTTATCTGCAGCTGAAGCTTCCGCCCCTCTCGGTAGCCAGACGCTCTCAGTTTCTCAGCAAGGCCAGGAGCTAGAAAGTTGGAAAAGAGACAAAGAAAAAGACTGTTTCTAATCAGGCATTGGCTGCCTGGTTAGTGTCAGGTACCAGCTGTTTGCTTAGTGACTGCTGACAACCAACCAGATAAAACTCCCAACCAGATTCCTGCTTACACTTTTTCTCATGGTGTTGGCCTAAGGTCATTGTTGCAGCAAGGTTACAAAGTGCTTCTCACTAGGAGATCGCAGCTCAATTAATGGCACTTACTGCCTGTTTTAGAAGCCATTTCTCCATTTTTGTATAACAGCAAGCTGACGTAAAGTGAGAGATTTCTTGGTTGTGTAGTAGTGATACTCTCACTGACAATTTCTCAATTCAAAATCATACTTTTGATTACCTTTTTAGGCTGCAACTAATGATTACTTTGAAAATCTATTAATTTGTTGATTAATCGATTAAGGATCAGATAGCCAAAGGTTCCTTAAAATACATTTTTTACAAATGAAACCAGGTGAAACTAAACACTTTTTTACTTGAGGGGTTCTGGATAGAGTATATTGACAGACAAAAAAGATTTTTTTTTTTATCTTAAATGCTAAATATTGACATATATTTTTACAATTTTGTATATTTACTGCTCTAAGTGGGTCGCTCTGTCAGCTAAAGGCATGTTTTACAGTCTCTACACTCCATTTAATGATTAATCGATTACTAAATTAGTTGATTATTTCAATAATTGATTAATCACAATTAATCTGATTGTTTCAGCCCTTTTTTACAAGTTTTATACATTTTCAGACTTCCAGTTATGTCAAGAGAATTTTGCCTCAAAAGAAATACATATTTCTGCAAACAAACTTGTTCAGCTTCATCTAACAAGTTCTAAGTCTGAAGTAAGATCCATCTGTGGGACAAAGTGTTGAGAAACCCGTCCAGTTATTTCCCTAATCTTTCAAGCCAAAGCTAACCAGAGCAGCCCCCAATCATGTGCTTACATGTATGTACAGAAATAAACAAAATTGTTGGTACCCATCCTTAAGTTAAATAAATGGTCACATAAATAATTTGAATCTGAAAATATAACAATAGTTATTCAATGGAAATTAACATGTTAATTATATATACAAATGTAAAGGAGCTACGCAGCTCCTCGTGCGTGGAATTTTTTTTACAAAGAAACTGAAATGCTTTTAAGTTGAAAGTGAAAGAATTTGAAGCAGCCTCAATGATCTGTAATTGTTTTACTTGATGTTTTTTATGTACCTGTCATTTAATTTATTGTATCTCTGTTTCTTATGTTACTTTGCTGCCTCTTGGCCATGACTCCGTTGAAAAATAGGCAATGGGATTTTTTTTTTTCTTGGTTAAATTAGGTTAAAAAAAATGATAGAATTACTGTCCTAAATTGTTATTCTAATATTTTTTCATGTTTAGCACTTGTAAATCTCTGCTTATTCACAAAGAACAGCATATGTTTAGAGGTTTTATGTAATTTTCAGTTTTATTTTCTTTGCCCATACCTTTCTATGATTGGACTTTATAGTTATGCTAGCTTCACCGACAGCTAACATTGTCGGCCACATACAATGACAACCGTAGCCACTTAATTCACAAAGCTAGATAGCTCAAGAAATGTACTAATGAACACATATTTTATTCGGGTTAATGTTCAGCATCTGTAATTTACAATAAAATCCGCTTCAGTAGCAGTGAACCCACAGTCTGGATTGTTAGCATTAGCTACTGACGCATATTAGCTTCGACGGCTAAAAAAGCGTCGTTATAAACGGAGCAGCTTAACCTTTGATACGAAATTCCTCACTTCTCATGCACCCAAATACAGCTTGAAATATCTCACCTCATAATGTGTCGTTAAGTCGACAAATGGAGTCATAACTGCCAGCTGTATAGCCAGTAGCAGTAAGATAGAGTGAAGCGATCAGCTGATCTCAGACCAGCTGACGTCACACCGAGCTTCACCTATCAGGTGGATCAGTTCAGTTTTCTATAGTGCCAATTCACAACAATTCATCCAGATCATACAGTCAAATTGCTCCAAAGTTTTCTAAGGAAAACCAGTTGATTTCATCAACTCAGATGCAATCCCTCACACTAAGCATGCTTGTTGTGACAGTGGAGAGGAAAAATTTGCTTTTAACAGGAAGAAACCTCCAGCAGAACCAGGCTCAGTGTGAGCGGCCATCTGCCGAGGCCGACTGGGGTTCCTCTCACTTTCAGGCATTTTATTTATCAAATATTTCAAATTGGCACAAACTGTAAAGTGGTAATTTAAATTTACCTAAACATGTTTTTTTTCTCCTTTCAGCACCTAATAGAAAATGTTATTGATACCGTAATTTTCTTAACATTAATTTTCTAACACTATAAAAAGCAGAGTGACGTTTTTCCTCACAGAACCAACCGCACGAATATACAGATCCAAACTGGCTCGTCATCAATTTACAGTTGTTAAAGTAATTATTGTAAAGATAAAATTGTTTTTTGATATTTATGGTTTTACAGTAAATCATTAAATCACTAAAAGGCAAACCTTTCTATGCTTAGAAGGTTAAACCATTTTCCAACCAAGTACCAGATCATCCATGCTGAAATCAAAAAGACAAAAAAAAGCCTATTAATTTTACCGCCATATTTCATAATGGCAGAGCATACAGATTATTTTTTATCTTGTGATGTCAAGCGAAATAAAAAAGTAATCTGTATAGCTTTTAGAAACTTTGTAATGTCCCCATTTTAACTGAGAATGCATGCATACTTGTGAAAAAAAAAAACTCACCATCTTTAAGTCATATCTGAAAACAAAAACCATTGCTGCTTAGGTTTTTATGTATATATCTTTTAATAAAATGCTGTGTACATCTGCCAAACATTCTGCTACATTTGAAACTGTGCATAGACTGAAGGAAACGTGAACAGCGGACAAACATTTTGGCAGTTAGCAGAACAAATATATCATGGATATGAAAGACGTGACAGTTCAAAAAACAAGTAAAGCAACAGTCATTCGCAGATCCACTCATCTAGAGTGACTTGTAGCACAGCTCTGACATTCATGATAACATACAAATGTCCATAACTCAGTCATACTCAAAGTGATCCCTAAGTAAAGAGTTGCACCCATCAGGGGTGTAGAGTGGACATGGCAGCACTTTGGACTCGGGTGCGGTGAAAATTCAAATACCTTTCAGCTATTAAGAAGTAAAATTGAATAATTAATGTTTACATATGTTGAGAAAATCTAAAATTTTTAGGACATCTGAAATGACAAAAATATATATATATATATATATATATTTTTTAACCCTTACTGCCAATTAGGTTGAAGTGTAATAGCTGAGGTACAGAATAATCAGATGGCACCCATTAGGTGTAAACATTACAACCACTGTCCTATCTGCCAGTCTTCCGTCCACTTAACTCATTCTCTCAGGCACATCAGACTCTCCAGGTGTAAGGCACTTCTCAACTCTCGCATCATTTCACACGTACATACGCGCTAGCTCTTTCTCTCCCAGTTTGCGCCCTATCTCACTCTCTCGTTCATCCAAGAGGTGTTGTTTTTTCTGTTTCTTTCTCCGGAGTCTTTGCATGCAGCAGTGACTGGTCGCAACCAGCCAGGAGCAGCACAGCAAACTCCGAGCACAGAGTGGTTTCAGCCTGGGGTTGAGCCGGACAGAGCCTCCAGCATCTTGGTGCGAGCCAAAGTAAATCTTTTCACAATCTGCTTGACGTGTTCCTCTTCTTCACGCTGAAGGATGAGCAGGAAGTTCTTCAGCTCAGGCATGGAGAAAGCGTGCCACTGCAAAAGGGAAAAACAGATCAATGACTAAGATTCATTCAAATCAGGGAATGGAAGTTTTGCTTTAGCGTTGATACAGGTTTCTGATGTACTGTAGAGCCTTCACTTACATTAACTTCACCAGTTTCATTTTCTTTGAGAACAAAACTGAGGACCTTCTCATTGGGCCCCGCATTCAGACGTAAACGGAGCGGCCGTTCGCCATCAGAGAGCTTACGAAGATAAACTGGGGAAGCAGAGAGGAGAATTATTTTTTTTTCTTCGGGAACAAAATGGGATCCAAGATCAGATTTCCATTTTTATATGAAGAAGCAGTACCTTGGTCATGGCGCTCGCTGCGCTCAAACAGTGCAAATTTGCCGGGATTGTCCACCACGGTGAACTTCTTCAACAAAGCCTCAATGACCTCACGAGCAGACGTACGGGAGCTTATGTGCAAATGCTTTGAGGCATCCTTTGGCAGGTAGAAGGAGGTGCGGCGCTTCACTCCGCTGGCTCGCCTCCCTCCAGCATCAGGACCTCCTTTCTTTGGTGCTGGAACCGACACAGGCCGTGCTAGCTTGAATTGTACCTTCACAAAACCAGTGTAGGACCCATCCTTGTTCTGTTCAAGAAATATAACGCGTTATACCAACAGCAAAAAAATAGTGCTTCTCTCCTAAAATGAATGGATTAAGCTAAATTAAGTACCCACCATGTTCATGAACAGATTGCTATTGATCTGGGAGTTGTATTCCTTCACTTTCTGCAGAATTTCAGCAGTAGTCCATTCTGGTTTCCCATGTTCGACTTGTTCGTCCTAAAAGGAGCAGTGCAGTTACATTAATGAAGCACCAGGTGGCAGCGTTTCTCTCTAAAGCACCGATTTTAGTGTGTAATATATAAGAAGAAATTAAAGCAAACTTTTTTTTCTCCATTTGACCTTTTCTAACCATTTTTAAAAATCATTTAACTAAAACTCTAAAAGAAATATCAAAAGTAAAGACAAATATTTATTCAGTTTTTTTTAATAATAAGGAATTGGGTATATAAAACATTATTCTACTTCCGTTGTTCCTTGGGTGTATATCTATAAGAATGTTTTATTGGTCTTATTTATATTATGTTGTATTTGAAGTTGCTGATACATGTTAGCATAAACAAATGACATAATAGAAAAATGAATGAATGAAAAATTATACAATGAATGCAATAGAAGGATATAGGAAAACAAGTTTTTTTTTAATTGCATAAAATGTTTAAAAGATTAATGCTAATATTTCTGGACTTTAAATAAAAGATATTAAATCTGTCGCGCCAAGGTTTTTGACAACAAGTTAATGAGATGTAACTATCTTAATATGTTATGATTGTTTTCCCCACAGACTGGTTGCATCAGACTCAACTTCCTGACAACACAGCTAAGGCAAACATGATGATGTCAGCTCTGACCAGTGCTGCTCTGCTCCTCTGTTCTCTCACTGTAGGGCTAAAGGGAGGAGCAAGGGAAGTAGGCAGGGAGGATAAGGAAGAGAGGAGGGGGAAATAATTTGCAGCTGTGCAATGACTGCTGCCAACGGCATTGCATTCCTCAGCTTGGTATTCATGTAAAAATAGCCAACCCCCACCCTCCCGAACTTTCAGACTCCCACATGTGAGAGACAAAGCTATCCCTTGTTTCAAAGCCACTTCCTATTAGGTCAGCTGCCTGACAAACCACACACACCTACAGTCATGTTGCAGTCATGCACATTTGGCCTCCAGCAAAGAGATGACCAGTAGCCTAGTTTGGCCTTAACTGGCAGCAGATTCCCTCCATTTGTATCATACCGGATTTATCAAGTATTAGTAAAACCTTAGACTTAAGAGATAAAAACAAAACATATTTAATTAGAGATCCACTAAATATATTCTTTCCCAACAGTAATTATTTTTGTTTCGATTACTGAAATCCTCTGATTTTGTGCAGAATAATTTTTACCAAAAATGATTATTTTAGGCCAACGTAGTGTTTCATTTCAATTTTTCTCTGCACTACCCACTAACAAAGTTTGAATGGCCTGAGTCTATTTTTGCAGGACTTTACTGTAACTTATGTGTGAAAAAGTGACCAATACTATATGCATGCATGAATCTGCAAGCTAGACGCAACTCTCGTGTCCCGTCTATGTGGTCTCAAACCCCCTTTAAGCTTACTACCGCCACCTAAAGCACAGGAGTGAGAAATTTAGTTTCTAGTTCTTGTTAAATGTGGTGTGACCAAATTTCAGTGCCTCTGCGATTAGAAAGTTTCTTTTAGTAAAATTGCAGGTATATTGCAAAAGTAATTAACTACCAGACACTATTCTGAAAGTTCTTTTTAATGGTAAACTAAAATGAAATGTGCTGCAAAAAAACCTACAAGATATTAAATCAGCACAGCGAATATTAAAAAAACTGACGCATACTGTCAATCTTTTTCTTTTTTTTTTTAAATCCTTTATACGCATAAAAATTGTGGTATTACTGCTTCAATTAATTGGGAGAATTGGTAAATTCTGATCTGTGGTGGATTAATTTGTGCATCACCTTTCACTTTAAAATAAGATTCAAATTTCAAATTATAATTTTTGTTTGTTGAAGAATTAGCAGAAATCTGTAGCTCATAGATCAATCGTCCCAATCCTTAGATGGAGCGTAATAGATTCAGAATTAGAATGTTGCTTTTAATTATTCAATAAATCAATGAATCGGTGGGAACCAATATTTTTGCTGCATGGAAGATTTAGAATACATAAAATTGTGCCTCCACATGCCCCCATAAGGTGTGTCACACAAACAGAACCTGGTTTAGCCAACACATCATAAAAATGGCTTCTGCAAAACTTGATGGTGCAGTATGTGTACTGTAAACTAGATCCGCTTCTCACTAAAAACAAATCAGACACCTCTATGCAGCTGTGTGACTAAAAGACAGATAATGATCAAAACCAAGTGATTCCATGAGTCACTTTGAATTGTGAAATTTGTCAAAAACCAGAGAGGAGAGCCAGTAATGAATGGTGGGTGTTGTGCTGGAAACATGAGAAGCAAATGTGCGTCATAAGAGCAGAACATCTGGGGGGGATTTCAACAAGAATTAATCTACTGGCCTCCAAGTGTAATAACGAAAAAGAAAGAAAAACTTCAGTAAGACTTCATTGAATGCTGGGTAGGTTAAAAAAAGAGAAGCCAAAACGAAGTTTTGGGTGCAGTTTCCAGATAATAGAGGAAGCAGAACTCCACCCAGAACAGGAAACTTGTTTGGCAATAATCACTCCTGCTTTAGTTCCCTGGAGCAACAGCTGTTTTTTTATTTTTAAGGTAGAGGGAACAGGTTGCCGTTATTTACCCTGTCAACAAAATGTTTAATTGCGAATTTGTCTCATTCTTAGCAGAAAACTGAAATAACGCAAGAGTTCACCACCCAACCCTGAGCTCACTTCCCCTTTTCAAAAACACTTTTAATGCGTCTAATAAAAAGTGCCGTATTGTTTCCGCAACTAATTCTCTTTCCAACTCACCTTCTTAACCTTGTCCGCATCAGTGGCGGTGGGTTTTTTAGTTTTGGGGAAGAAGGATGTCCGGGCGGTGAAATATTGCTCGAACTCAGAGTCGCAGTCCTCCTCGCTGCAGTAGCCGCTGCTGGCGGAGCTGCCCCAGCTCATCTCGAAGGACGGAGTCTTATCGGAGCTGTTTGCCATACTTCTTACCGCTTCGAGTCTAAAGTTATTATTAAAACTAAACTTTATACGAACTTCTGTGTCACTTCTGAATGAGAGCGAATCTGACTTAGCAACTCAAAATTAGCTGAAGAAAGGCGCCTCGGCTAAATGACGGTATCTTCTTCTTCTTCTTCTTATGGGATTTTATGGCGGTTGGCAGACTAAATGACGGTATCTAAACTAGCTCTGTCCCTATGAATGCTCAGAAACAAACCGCGCAGTCTCACCCAGCTTTTCCACTCCCTCTTCCTCTCTGAACTACCGGCCACGTTTCCAGTGTGTGTGAAACAGGATGTATGGAGCTCTGGGCTCCGCCTGCCGCGCTTCCTCCCCCCCACCGAAGAGGTATTTCTGATTCCTGGTTGATGGAACAGGTGTTTTGAATGAAATGGTGCCCAGCTTGAGAGAGCTCCTGTGTGTCGCTGAATGTGTGTATTGACGACTGAAAGACATCTTCAGCTTCCATTTATCTGTTGAATTCATGTTAATGTATATTTAAACACATTTCAGTTAGTGGAAAAAAATTGCAGAGGGGAATATAAAAAAAAGTCTAATCAATCAAAACTTTCGCGACCCCCATGCTGTACCTCCTTGGACCCCCTAGGGATCACGGACCCCCTGTTGAAGACCTATGCTATAGAAGATAATAAGCAACAACCTTCATTCCGACTGTCCGTTTAAAGATTGATGTTCATCTAATTACGTTTTGAGGTCAGTTTTAGTGGAAGGAAGAAAAACAAGCTGTAAAACTGCCTACAAGCAAAAGTGGACTGAAACTCCAAGGGGACTGAAGAGAAAACCAATTCAATTGTTTAAGGGGAATCACTGAGCATGGACTGAACAGAGCTTTCATAATCAGATTATACAGTAGACGATTCCAAGACATGAGCTAAAACTGTCATGTTTCTTGTGTTATTAGCTACTTTGGAACTGGATACGGTCAAAGCATCTTGACAAGGCTTTCCTCTGCTACTAATTTTAATTTTCCAGCATGACTTGTCACTTGCTGATACTGACAATACCTGCTTCATTGACCATTGTTTCAGACTGGAAACTGGAGCGGAAGAACCAGGTTAAAGCAACACCACTTCCTGATGCCCTCAGCAGACGCACAGGCTGTAGATCCACCTCCATGCAATGCTGCATTGATGCAGTCTTTCTTTGAAAAAATAGTTTATATACTGAACAGAATATGGACATACGTTCCAGTAGGTCAATATTTCTACATTAAATATCCATGTTTTAATGTTCTTATGCAAAACCTGAATTAAACATAATCTAATGAACATTTGAAGGCTTTTCTAACTGTAAACTATTATTAACAGTTTAAATAACCGGCTCTGTATCCTGCCCTTGAAATGAACTCATACATTTTTATTTTTAAATATATCCTATTAGATGCAACAGCACTTTAAGACATTTTCTTAGACATAATATTTCATTCTAATAAACAAAAAGTTAATACATGAATATGCCACACTGTGTGTTAAAATAACTGACATTCTTAACTTAATGCTATTAAAATATATACAAGTTCTTTAAATTAGCGAACCATTTGAAATCTATTCAATTGACTATATTTTTCCTCTAAACCAGATTGATTTGAAACCAAAGCTTTGACATCCCCCCCATGGGGTAGGGGTTTGCTGCAGCTCCATCCTCCTCCTCCTGCTCTCCCTCCCTGCTGAATGTCATGTGATGATGGGAGTTCCCGCTACCACGCACAGTTTGATTAGCATGTGAATTGTATAACCCAAATTTAAAAAATGCACACAGCCATTCATTTATACCACACCCGTTATACAATTCAAGCTTTAAAAGAATAAATAAACCATTCTGTTTAAAAAGAAGCAGTGGAGGTCCCACCCACAGCTCTCAAGCTGCATCAAGGAATAGTTAAAACCTGATTTTTTTAAAAGCACTTCTGTCTAATTTGCCAGTTTTAAAGCTACAAATTTAGAGCTTTACAGTAAGGAACTGAGACGTGTTGTCAAGAAAAGAAATACAACAAAAATGTTTGAACAGGGAAGTCAGAAGAACGGAGTACCTTTTTTAAGTTTCAGATATAAATGCGTAAAAGCTGCATTCCCAGTTCAGGGGGTCAGAGAAACCTCACTAGTCTAGGTTTTAATTTGAACATAAAAAATACTTTGAAAGGCAACGCCTGAGCTTCGCTGATTTGCTGTGTTTGAATACAGTCGACTCAGACAAGATGCCAATCTCTTGCTCCAATGCCAAATCGGTGAAACAGCACATGTGAAAGGTGCTCTTTCATGGTTACTGAAATCCGTTTCAACTGGTATATGACCAATCCAGCCATCACAGGACATCTCTTTACTGTTTATTTTTCCTTTCAATTCCTCATGCCATTGAAGGAGCAATAAGTAATAATGAGAGTGGACTCCTCTTGATGCGGAGGAGAGGCGGCTCTGCTCCGAGCCTCTCCCAGATGACTGAGCTCCTCACCCTATCTCTAAGGGAGACTGCAGCCACCCTGTGGAGAAAACTCTTTTCGGCCGCTTGTATCCGGGATCTCATTCTTCTTGACTATAGGTGAGTGAGGACAGTAGACCGACCAGTAAATCAAGAGCTTTGCCTTTTAGCTCAGCTCTCTTTTTACCACAACAGATCGATGCAGTGTCTGCATTATAGCAGCAGCCGCACCAATCCGTCTTACGGTCACCTACTTCTTTCTCCAGAACCCCAAGATACTTGAACTCCTCCACTTGAGGCAGGAGGTCTCTAAGACAAGCCACCTTTTTCCAGTTGAGAACCATTGCCTTGGACTTGGAGGAGCTGATTCTTATCGCAGCTGCTTCACAAATTGAATCTTACATCGCCCCAGTGCATGCTATAGCTCTTGGCCGGAGGGAGCCAGCACTGCCACATCAAAAAGTAGGGACAAAATCCACAGGTTGCCAAAGCAGATCTTCAGCCCTTATAGGAGCTGAGCCTAGAAATCCTGTCCATAAAGGTATGAGCAGCACCAGAGACAGAGGGCAGCGGTGCTGGAGTCCATTATGCATCATTTATAGCTAAAACTTCCAAAAAATAAAAATTATTTATGTGAAGATGCAGGGTCTTCACTTTTTATTATTAACAAGTCACATGTCAAAAAATTGATCAAAATATGCCATCAGTAATCTGTGATTTGATGATTTTCAAAAAGCCGAAGATAAACAGTTGTTTTGAAAATTAAATCAGCCTAGTGGAATCATAAAAAAATAAAATTTGTTAAGAAGGTATTTGGTGAGAATAGCCAGGTTTATCAACATGACTTTAAATTTTTATTTCCATAATATTGAGGATAAATTCAATCTTTTTGGCTGGATCCAGATTATTTGATCTGATTCCTGTTTATCTTATCCTTGAACCGCAGCAGCTGTATTGTGGCTGCCGGCACGTGAAGATGAGCTTATTATTCATCTCCTAATGACTCCAGTGGTATGAAATCAAATCCTTGTTTTAAAGCTTGCTTAATTTCTAGTCAAGATTTATTGAATAACCAATAAAAGTCTTAAAGAAGCCAAACACAAATTTTTCAGTATTCTCTGATTGAGTTGTGCTTAATCCCACCCAGCAGTTTAATCCAGCGGTACGCCAGATGCCTTCCCTGCGAGAGGAAGAGAAGACCGCCTGGTTGGCTGAGAGCGGCCGAGGCGCGCTGGAGCAAAAAAACTTGAAATTATTTTTAAAATGAAGGGGAATCACAATAAGCAGAGTAGATATTTAAGAAATCTACTTTGATGACTCAAAACATCTTAACAGTTTATTTTGGGTCTGGCAACACTTGGCATGCTCATGTGATTAGCTGAATAACAAGGAAGTAAACAGACTACACACAGTTTAGCCAAATGGCAAACCAGTCCCTAAACACTAACCCTAAGTTTGCACGTTCCAGTGGAGTGTCTCCCACCTAAAAGACCTTTTTGAAAAATCAGTTGATAAACGATTTCTGAAAAAATAATCTATAAGGAGAAATAATGTTATATTTTTACATGACCTTGTTTCTACCATGATGGAATAAAAATTTTAGTTACAGACAAAGAGTTCAGAAACTCTTCCCTCCCCCACCTGTTTCTGAGCACTGCAGCTCTGCAGGCTAAAAGGATGGTTTTGGATTTTCTCTTGTTTTCTCAAATGATCAAAGTCATTCTTGCAGCAGAGAAAATAGCTGCTGGGTTGTCTTTTTTGTTTGTTTGTTTTTTAATATAAGTAGTAATGATTCAAGTTTTACTTTTGAAAATTGTTTTACAACTTATAGTTGTTCACAATGTTATTTAAAAAAAACTGCCATTTTAATCTAAATGAGATAAAATAAGAACAATATTTAACAGATTCCAAAAACAGTTTGCTTGTTTTGCTGTTAGTTGTTTTATTTTAAGTTTACATAAGTGGACATCAGCAACAGGATTTCGTGGTATTACAAAATTATTCTTATTACCTGAAGTAAAAGTATTTTTATTGATTTGAAAAACATTGAAGTATGTTTAATATTTTTGATTTAAAGAAATGCTCACGTTATCTATTGTGCAACACCCTTACTGTAGAGGCTAACCTAACTGGTGTTAGAACCGAGCAGAACCAGTATGATTAAATGTATTCCATCTAGGCAGTATTTTTTGCAACTAGCTTTATCATTTTCAACCCTTTGTGTGTATCTGTCCTAAAATCAGAAGTGAAAAAAAACACATGTAGTAGAGTAAACACATTGGTGCTTCACTGTTAGAACCAGTAGGATGCAAGGTAATGTGGTTTGATGCACCTTGAATATGAAGTAGAAATAATCTAAAAAAGTTATAGATAACAGGAGTCAGTGTGTACTAGCTGTAAACTCAAATGTAAAATATATATGTTTAAGTGTAAGTATACAGAGGTCATATATTTTTTTTTTGTACCATAAGTATAAAGTAGGAAAAATCGCTTTACTTTGACTATTTTTGGATTTTGTGGTTGTATTTGAGAAAGCACCTCTTCCTGTTTTGTTTTTACAACAGAAACAAAAAAAAAACTGATACAACAGAATATTAAATGGAAAAAGATGATGTAATAAGGAAAATCACGCTTAGCAATAAAAGAAAAACTAGAAAGTAGTTCAGCAGATTCCCGATAGTCTCTAATCTGAATTTCAAGCAAACCAAGCCTAAGAAAAAAAAAAAAAAAACATCACTACTTTATTTCAAATGACCTTGTTCTTCTTCAGCATTACCTGCATCTAAACTTTCTGGAAACAGTGTTTCAAATACTCAAGCATTTCCCCACAGGTTTAATTTCAGACCCAGATTTTTGCATAAGGTAACATTTGGAAACCAACTTATCAAACAACTGACTTCTCTTTCTACAGCTGTTGCTGTGTATTGCAAACTAGGTGGAAATGCAGCTTTTAAAAAGAACATGTTGGTCCATTTTCAGTTAAATAAGTTGAATATGATTTTTATTGCTAAAGGTCAGTAAAGGTGCAGTTAACTTGTTTTTTTAGAGAAGTCCTCCTGAAATAGCCATAAATGAGGAGAAAAGGTGCCGCTGAGTTTCTGTTCTGCCTGTGGGCAGAGCTAACTTCCAGTTACAATGCTTCGTAATTCAGTGCAAGACAGCTTACCACATTCGTGTCTGTCTCTATGGTGTGCTCCACAACAGTTGTGAGGTCCGCCGCTGAGCCACGCTCCCAGCTGCAGTCCAGCTGAATCAGGGCACGGCAGCGGTAGTGGCATGTAAACCTGCAGTCTAAACATTCAGAAAGTTACAAAGGTTAGGGCAGATGCAGCCAAAAATATGGAAACATCAAAACAGATAATCGGGTAATTGTTGTTACAGGGTTATCTCAGGACTTTACGATACCTGCAGAACCAGTTTCTGATAGACGCAGGGAAAACCAAGGAGTAGGGTGGAGGACTTTCACAGGTACAGAATCACCCCACTGACAATGGTGAACAGGGAGGGGACACTGAGTACTTATAAGTACCTGGGTATTTGCCTAAACAGTAAACTGGACTGGACTTATAACAGTGACGCTGTCTACAAGAAGGGTCAGAGCACACTGCTGAGGAGACTGAGGTCTTTTGGAGTGCAGTTGGCACTCCTGAAGACCTTCTGTGACTCTGTTGTGGCATTAGCCATCGTCTATAGAGCTGTCTGTTGGAGTAGTTGCTTATCTGTAGCTCTGTGGTTGGACTCAGTGCAGGTGGTGGGAAACAAAAGGACTGTAACTAAATTAACATCCATGTTAGACAATGTCACCCACCCCATGCATGAACCTGTTATGGAGAGTTCTTCAGTGGCAGAAAGCTTTACGATAAATGCACAAATGAGTGTTATCACATCCTTCCTCTCACCAGCTGTAAGACCATATAACCATCACTGCACCAAACAACCTTATAAGGTTTAGAATCAAGATTACATTTACACAGTTCCTTTCTCAGTCACTTTAAATAACATACTGCTGACATTTTGCACATTTTGGCACATCTGCATTGTTTCTGCTATTTCTGCTATTTATTAGTTATCTTTCCTTCTTTTACTGACTACGCTTTATTTATATTTACAGCATCTTCTCTCACTGTACAGCATTTGCACTTCTATTTCACTTCACTGCACTTCTATTTCACTATATATATATATAAATATAAGAAAGATGTTGTAAATATAAATACATAAATATGTATATAGATAGATAGATAGATAGATAGATAGATAGATAGATAGATAGATAGATAGATAGATAGATGATAGATAGATAGATAGATAGATAGATAGATAGATAGATAGATAGATAGATAGATAGATAGATAGATAGATAGATAGATAGATAGATAGATAATGTATATATATAAACCTATATAAACTTTCTTGCTGCATATATATGGCCCAGCCCAGGGTTTCTCTGCATGGAGTTTGCATGTTCTCCCTATGCATACATGGGTTCTCTCCGGGTACTCTGGCTTCCTCTCACAGTGCAAAAACATGACTGTTAGCTTAATTGGCTACTTTAAATTCTTCTTAGTTATGAGTGTGTGTGAATGGTTGTTTGTCTCTGTGTTGCCCTGCAATTGACTGGCGATTTGTCCAGGGTGTCCCCCGCCTCTTGCTGAGCTACAGTAAGTGCAAACCACAGCTGCACTGCTAATGTTATAGATAAGTTTGTTTCTATTATGACCAGAGTAAGAAAACCACAATGGCTGCTTTCAGTCTGCTCTCAAACTGGCATTGATACCAAAACAGGCATAACATCTGTACCACTGGCTGCATATGTGTGTCGCTAACTCTCACCGTCGCTCTTTGATGTCTCTGAATATATAGATGTAATTGTACATGTGCTTAAAACATAATCCATCTTCTTATCAACTCAGCCTCTTGACCATGTTAATGTGAAGGATTGCAAAGCATGATGCTGCCACTATCATGTTTCACAGGAGAGATAGTGTGTTCAGGGTAATGTGCTGCTGTGTTTTACTGCGCAGCATGTTGCATGTATGTTTAAAGAGTGTTCTCTCTCTAACATGGCATCAAAAACAATAACTGAACTTCATTTAAAGCTAGATCATGAAAAGACCTTGTCTTTTGTCCCCTTTATCCTTGATCCAGATTCATGTACAGGGTTAGGTTTTGGTACACTCATCAACTTCAATGTTGATGAGTGTATAAAAGAGTTTATATTCTTGTTTGGTTTTTTTTTTATCAACCACAACACATTACAACACCAAGAAACAGCTGAAAGTCAGCACAGAAAATCAAAACAATATTTTCCTTTGTCTGAAAATCTCTCATTGCTCTCCATGCCATGCAGATGTACTGAGGCAGCAATGCAGCTTTTGAAACTTTAAACCCACTCACTGACACACCGCAGACTCTGCTTGTAAAGGCCCCAAATGAAGTCACCACACAGGTCGCACCACGTAGGCTGAGCATGGCTGCAGGGTTGGAAGTTATGCCCCTCTCCCTTCTCTTCTACAAACTCGGGGTCCTGGGAGCTGCTGAGAACCCTGATGATGCCCACGCGGCTCAGGAGGTCGGGCACCTTCCCTGGGCTGATCCTCAAGGCGTTGGTTCTCTCCAGGCGCGGGGGTGAGCATGGCGAACGCAGGCCAGTCAGTTCCATCTGCCCACTGCTAGAGTTCAGGTCACGGAGCTCGATAAACTCCCCCCAAGACATCATGACCGTCGGAAGGGAGCATTGAACATCATCACTGATGGAAAGAAATGTAGGAGGGGGAAAACTGAAGCAACGTCTGTAGCACTGCTGCGTTTATCATGAAAAAAATATCTATTTGATTTTTTTCCTTTTCTTTTTATTGCAAACTGAATCAACTAAATAACCTGTGTTTCATATCTAAAGGACGTTCTAACTATAAGGGCTGTCCAGAAAAAAATTCTGCATTCACACAAAACCAAGGTGTGAACACTCCCTTAGATTCCTGTAAGTATAGTTTTCTAAAGATGAGATCCACATTATGAATAAAGAAGCCTAAACAAGATAAAGCTAATCAGACATCAAAATATTACCTATTTGTTTAGCTGATGTGGATACGCTCTGCTACTGTAGAAGAGTCTGATCTAATTTTGATTAAAAAACTCCCCAACACACACGGTGGCTTTCCAGTTTGTCTGTTTGGCCTAGCCTTTAAATTGTACTACGATTTTTGACCATTTTGTCATTCAAATAAAATAAAACAATGTCAAAACAAAATGAGATGAAATAGTAAATATATTAAAAGGTAAGCTCAATTATAGTTGTAGGTCAAAACTAAACAAAGTATTTTTACGTTCAGAATCAGAATCAACTTAATTCGGTTTGTTCAAACAAGAATTGACTGTTTTATCAGGAATCGTACTAATTCTGTATTTTCAAAGTCAAATTTAAGTATAAGGAAAAAAACAACAGCAACAACATTGTTATAAATAAATGTAGAGTCCTGCTATAAATTGGAGTGCAACTTTCAGTAGTTCAGTCAAACTTTTCTCTTACAGTTTTTCATGGGCGGTCCTAAACCAGGGCCAACAGGGGCCCATATAATATTGGTCCTGCCCCTTGTTATGGTCCCTCTCTTTAAGACAAAACATTAAATGAACTTCTTATGATGATATGATCGGGCACATAGACGATAACTGACTGGTTGTTTGGACGAATTTAGTTTCTCATTTAACACTCAGAAATTTGACCAATCTTCACTCTAACACCTTTTATGTTTTTGGGGAGTATAATCTGAGAAATGTATTGCAGAGAAGAAGCCATTTGGCAGCTCTGTCATGGAGCTACTAGGATCTGACTAGAGAAGGACACCTTACTTTAACTTTCTGTTCATATTGATGCACAATCATTTTGTGTCAGCTTTGATATCATAACCAGAAGTAAATATTAATATATTTTGGAACCCTTATGAATTTCTAAAACAACTTGTAATGAAAGACAGTGAGCATGGGGTGCTTGTAAGGACTGAAAAGATGTCCCTCTGGTGCTCTTCAGTAGGGGATCCAAGTTTAACATTTTAAAGGAGGTCTGAGGCCCTAAAAAAAAAAAGGTTATTAAAAAGCCTTTATTGGTACATGGCTAATTTAATTAGGGCTACAACTATGATAATTTTGCTAATTGATAAATATGTTTATCATTTTTTTCGATTAGTTAATTAATAATCGGATAGCCAAGGTCTAAATAAAGAAGATTATTTTCCAAAATTAAACCAGGATAGAGCATATTGAGAGACAATATATATATACCGGTATATTTTTTATCTTAAATGCAAAATGTTTATATTTATTTTACAAATTTAATAGATTTACTAAGTGGGTTCTTCTGTCAGCTAAAAGCATATTTTACAGTCTCTATACAGTTAACGTTTAATCTATCGCCTCATTAGGTGACAATTATTTCAATAATCGATTAACAAATCAAAATTGGTTAAAAAATAAATAAATAAATGGGTCTTTTTTATATAGGATTTCAATCGGAAATTGGAATTAGCTACAAATGAAACAGATAAAATGATACTATTATCTATATTCATAGATTCCATAACCTAGTTATAGTTCAGGGGATTTTCTTTCAAGCAATGATCTATTTCTTATCCAAATTTCATGACTGAATCATTAAAATTCTTCTTTTTATTTTTTTTATTTAACAATTAATTTATTACAAAACATCTTTACGCACCTTTACCAGACTTCTAACAAGGGAAGACGATTTTTCTACTTCTGTAAAAGTTGATTAAAATATAAACAGCTACGCATCACAACCTCAGACTAAAAGCAATCATTTTAAATAGTGATATGTTTCATAAAAGTAACAAACTAGATCCTTGTTGTGTTATTCTAGGTTTGCTCCCTTTAAGCGCAGAAGTGTCTGTGGTGTAAACTTACCGGAACAGAGAAGAAAACCACTCCGCTGTGGCCGCTTTGTCTTCTAACTTCTTCCATCAGAGCAGAGCTGAACTTTGCGCACAAACATGGGGCTGTTTCCAGGCTGTGGAGGAGGAGGACAGCCCGGCGGCGGATAACGGGACGCTGAGAGGAGGGACGGTGACCCTCCTCAGCCTCAGCACAACATCTTTTACTTTTTTATCTTTTCCTCGGTCGGCTCAAGCTGCTCGAGAAGGAAGCAGTTGAAAAAAAAAAGAGAGTGAAAGATGAGATTGAGCTGCACAGACATCCGGTGAAATGTCTTCATGTATAAGGAGGGAGGGGGACAGCTGAGTGGGCGGACAAAGTCCCAAACCCTCCAACCTTCAGTCCCTGCAGAGGTGTAGAGCTGTCATTTTTACCGGCAGCAGAAAAAGATAAGACAAAAAAATAGCAGATGCAAAATGCAAAATAGTCTTATATATTTTCCGAATATTTGCCTATAGTGACATGAAAACCCCTTCACACAGAAAACTGCTCAGCAACCAGGGAGAGTAAAGTCTAATGATAACTGGGGGAATGTAAATGAACCAAATTAAAGACATTTCCTGAAGTGTTTTGCAAAAGTTTCCCTTTCTGCTGTGTTTAAGCAAGACAAGAAATAACAAGGCAATGGTTTTCTCACACTCTGCTAAACTACCAGAGATCCCTTTATTTCTTACCGCTGCTGTAGGTCCACATATTGAGTTTGTGGGTAATTACAAATATCTTGGTTTTACTCTCGATGATGAACTTACTTTAAAAAAAAAAATCACATAGCAAATCTATTACGAAGATTGAAAATGAAGATTGGGTTTTATTATCGAAATGGATCGTTTCTGTTTTCTATCATGTTCTTCTTTTGAGTATCCAGTTTTGCTTTGCTCCTTGTTTCTTAGTTTTTATGGTTTAATTCTTTGTTTATTGTTTTCTTTGTTTTGTTTTTCTCAGTTACTGTCCTAGTCTTGGTTCTGTTATATTTTCTTTTTAGTGTTCAGTTTTGCTTTGCTCCTTGTTTTCTAATGTTAGTGGTTTAATAATTATTTTGTAGTGTTTTCTACTTATTTCCAGTCTTCTGGTTTTTTCATTTGTTGCCCGCTGCTGCCCTCCTGTGTTCTCCTTTCTCCATAGCTCCTGTTTTGTTTCTGCTCTGTCTTCACCTGTTCCCAATCTTCTCATTAGCCCTCTCTTTGTCTCTGTCTCCTTTAAAAGCCCTCTCTCTACAGTTCCTCTTAGCTGGGTCCTTGTCTAACATCTTCAGTCTTCTTCCACTTCGTCTCTCTGTGTCTTCCTCCTTGAGTTTTGATTCCCTGATGTCTCCATGTTTTTCTGGGGTTTTTTTTCTTATTATTTTTTCATGTTTTAAATTTTTTTTTTTTTCATGTTTGTTTTTTGGACCTTGTTTCCATTTTGGATTTTGGATTCTTGATTGCCTGTTTGTTTGGACTTTGCTTTTTTCAGTTACTCCTTCATTAAACCAACCATGAAATCAACTCTGCCTACCTGCCTCTGCTTTTGGGTCCTCAACCCTCAAACAAATCCTGACAGTTTCTCACTCAAAGCTAGAAGTAAATTGGTAGCAGCAACATTCCTGCCACTTCTGGATTATGGAGATGTCTTATATATGAATACTTCAACCAAATGTCTAAAATCATTAAATACTGTTTATCATTGTGCTTTAAGGTTTATAACTGGTAGTAGATGTTTGATACATCATTGTGATTTGTATGCAAAAGCTGATTGGCCCTCTTTAAGTGTTCGGAGAAACAATCATTTGATGATCCTTATATATAAATCTCTCCTTGGACTAACACCAACATACATAAGCTCTCTTTTGCATAGATCTAGTACATTTTTTACGCTCAAATGTCTTTATTCTTCTACATGTTCCTCGTGTTCGAACTGATAAAGGAAAGAAAGCATTCAGTGCGTTTGCTCCTACAGCGTGGAATCAGCTTCAGTCTGAGCTCAAGATGTCAGACACTATTTCATTGGACTTATTTTGAGCGGTTCTTAAAGATAGATAACAAGCTTCTATGACACAGTGTCAGTGCTCTAAATAGTTTTTATTGTTTTATATTTGTGCATATGTATTAATTAGGCCCGAGCAGCATAGCGCTGCGAAGGCCTATTGTATTTCGAAAGTTTCTTATTATTATTATTATTAGGCCCGAGCAGCATAGCGCTGCGAAGGCCTATTGTATTTCGAAAGTTTCTTATTATTATTATTATTATTAGGCCCGAGCAGCATAGCGCTGCGAAGGCCTATTGTATTTCGAAAGTTTCTTATTAGGCCCGAGCAGCATAGCGCTGCGAAGGCCTATTGTATTTCGAAAGTTTCTTATTATTATTATTAGGCCCGAGCAGCATAGCGCTGCGAAGGCCTATTGTATTTCGAAAGTTTCTTATTAGGCCCGAGCAGCAAAGCGCTGCGAAGGCCTATTGTAATTCGAATGTTTATTAGGCCCGAGCAGCAAAGCGCTGCGAAGGCCTATTGTAATTCGAATGTTTATTATTATTATTCTCCTAAATGAATTGCTTATTTGGAGGCTTTATCATACTGGAAAAGTCACCAAACTTGACGGAAAATTGTCCCCCGCGTGAAATTTACGTATTTTAATGGAATCAGAAATGGGCGCCCCCAAACGCCTCAAGAGCGCCCCCTAGAATGAGATAGAGAATACCGTAAGTCCCAGAGATGTGAAATTTGGTATGTGGGTAGATCTCATAAAATCATGAAAAAAAGTCTCTTGGAGGTATGCCCTAAAACCCACAGGAAGTCAGCCATTTTGGGTCAAAGGTCAATTTTTGGCCATTTTTCATTTTTGTTCATGTCAAACTTTTGCGAACTCCTCCCAGGGATTATGAGCTATCGGATTCAAACTTGGTGTGTTGGTAGTAAAGACATGTGAGATTAAAAGTTATCAGAAACTCTGAGTTTTCGTGAATGCTGAAGGGGTCCCCCGGGGCCCCGAAATTAAGGTACTTTTAGAGAATTTCAAAATGGAATAACGTTTACAAAAAAAATTCAAATCAAACCAAGTTTGGCAGTAAAGAGCCCCTTTGGGTGCTTGACCATACTGAATGGTCAAATGATGACATCATCTAAGCCCCGCCCCCTGAGGGCAGAAAGTCACTTTTTTCACTTGGGAGGGTCCCTTTCAGTCATTTTAAACACCAGCACCTTGAACCTTTGTCAGATGATAGAAAACATGTTGGTCTAACTTCGTTTAAAGCACAAAGTTTTTGAGTTAAATGGCGTTGCCATGGTGAGCTGGCAAAGTTAGGCGTTTCGCCGTGACCATACTTTTGGTTATCATCTCCTCATAGATCCTTCAATCTGCACCAAAGTCACTAGGATGGAACTTGGTCCAAGTCCACACAATAATCTAGGCCAATAATCGATGTGCGTGGCTTACTTTGGATACAGCGCCCCCTAGAAAAACTAAAATGACCAGCCCCAAGCCATGCAATTACTTAGGATTATGAAAGTTGGCACACATGTTAAACACCCCAGGACCTACAAAAAAGCCTCTTGGACCCATGGTCTAAACCCCACAGGAAGTCGGCCATTTTGGATTGAAGTTCAAATTTTCACCGTAATTTTGCACTTTATAGCCTCTATATTTGAACGAACTCCTCCTACAGCTTTTGGGTCACAGGCTTCAAACCAACTCCAACTTGACTTGAGGCATTGGGGATTAAAAGTTATCAAAGGAATTTTTCTACATCAAAGCATGTGGGCGTGGCCAAGCGTCAAACTTGGTCATTAGGCAGGGAAACAAAGGGTAAGCCCCATGTCATTTTATGACTGAGAGTTATGAAACTTGGACCACTTATGTAACCCCTCAGGACCTACAAAAAAGTCTCTTGGGGCCATGGTCCAAATCACACAGGAAGTCGGCCATTTTGAATCAAAGAAATCCCTTTGCTTTTTTACCTTTGTGACCTATTTGAGCGAACTCCTCCTAGAGCTTTTGAGTTACAGACTTTATATTCACTGTATAATGACTTGAGACATTGGGGATCAAAAGTTATCAAAGGAATTTTTCTACATCAAAGCATGTGGGCGTGGCCAAGCGCCAAACTTGGTCATTAGGCAGTGAAACAAAGGGTAAGCCCCGTGCCATGTTATGACTGAGAGTTCTGAAACTTGGACCACTTATGTAACCCCTCAGGACCTACAAAAAAGTCTCTTGGGGCCATGGTCCAAATCACACAGGAAGTCGGCCATTTTGAATCAAACAAATCCCTTTGCTTTTTTACCATTGTGACCTATTTGAGCGAACTCCTCCTAGAGCTTTTGAGTTACAGACTTTATATTCACTGTATTATGACTTGAGACATTGGGGATCAAAAGTTATCAAAGGAATTTTTCTACATCAAAGCATGTGGGCGTGGCCAATCGCCAAACTTGGTCATTAGGCAGTGAAACAAAGGGTAAGCCCCATGCCATGTTATGACTGAGAGATGTGAAACTTGGGCCACCTATGTAACCCCTCAGGACCTACAAAAAAGCCTCTTGGGGCCATGGTCCAAACCACACAGGAAGTCGGCCATTTTGAATCAAAGAAATCCCTTTGCTTTTTACCTTCGTGACCTATTTGAGCGAATTCCTCCTAGAGCTTTTGGGTTACAGAGTTCAAACTTACTCTACCTTGAGCTGAGGTAGAGGGGATCAAAATTTATCAGAGGAATCTTTCTACATCAAAGCATGTGGGCGTGGCCAAGCGTCAAATGTGGTCCCTTTGCTATAAAACACAGTGCAAGCCCCAGGCCATTTTTTTAATGAGAGTTATGAAATTTGGTACACATATGTAACCCATCACGACCTACAAAAAGTTGTATTGGAGCCATGGTCCAAACCCCACAGGAAGTCCGCCATTTTGAATTGAAGCCATCATTAGCTTTTTCATCTTTATATTGTATTTTAGCTAACTCCTCCTTGAGCGATTGAGCTGCAAACTTCTAACTTGCTGAGCCTTGACTTAAGACATAAGGGGTAAAAAACAAACAGGACGCACAAAAAAGTCAATTGGAGCCATGGTCCAAACCCAACAAGAACAACATTTTCTTTTTTTAAGTCATGACATATCTGAGTGAAGGGCTCTTGGTTTTTTTTTTGAGTTAGAGAATTCAAATTAACTTTTCATGGACTATAGTCATAGCCGATTAAAAGTTATCAAAATTATTATTCTACATAAAAGCATGTGGGTGTGGCTATGCATCAAACTGTTAACTCCAGTCATACAAAGCCATGCTTTTA